GTAGAAAATGTAAAAATTGTGAATAAACTGTATAAAATATAAAAATTGAGAATAAACTGTATAAAATGAGTAAATTTTAAATAAACTATAGAAAATGTAAACTGTATAAAATGTAAAAATTAGTAGGACCAATTGAATATAAATTAGCTGTTGTATATATTTTGTAATTAATAATAATAATATATATATATATATATATATATTTAACACCAAGCCACAAGCCCACAAGCTGATCATATTTAAACGGTTTTGGATCATTTCACTGGCTGTGACGTGACTTTCAAGGGAGGCGTTTATTAGCGTGTCATCGGCATATCTGCCTAAGGATGTATAAAATGTCTTGGGTATGTCATGAGTGAAAATCGAGTAAAGGAATGGGGCGATGTCGCTTCCTTGTGGGACTCCAGCTCTAATAGTGTAACGGGTTGAGTAGGTGTTGTTTAGGCGAACAGTAGATTTGACAGATATGATTTTATTAAGAGGAAAAGAGGGGCGGGTAAGAACTTTTTAAGTTTGTACATGAGTCCATCGTGCCAAACCCGATCAAAGACTNTCGGCGTATGTGCCTAAGGATATATAAAATGTTTTGGGTATGTCATGAGTGAAAATCGAGTAAAGGAATGGGGCGATGTCGCTTCCTTGTGGGACTCCAGCTCTAATAGTGTAACGGGTTGAGTAAGTGTTGTTTAGGCGAAAGTAAAGAAACGATTTGACAGATATGATTTTATCAAGAGAAAAAAAGGGGGGGTAAGAACTTTTTAAGTTTGTACATTAGTCCGTCGTGCCAAACCCGATCAAAAGCTTGGGAGATGTCAAGGAATACTGCTATACAAAACTGTTTTTTTTCCAGGCAGTTGGCTATGATATCGATTGTTCTGTATTGATTGGTGCAATGTAGAATGTTTTGATCTGAATCCGAATTGTGTGTGTGGAATTATGTTTTTTGAAGGAGCAAAATGAGTGAGTCTTTTTAAAAGAATTTTCTCAAAAATTTAGAAAAGGTTGGGAGAAGACTTATGGGTCTGTAAGAGGCAGGATCTTGTGGTATTTTATTGGGCTTAGGTATTAGAATAATGACCGAGTATTTCCAAGTGTTTGGAAAGTACGATAGTCTGAAAATGGCGTTGAATATGTGTGACAAAAAAACAATGACTTTTTTGGGAAGGTTCTTTGTAATAACATTACTAATTAGATCATGACCTGGTGATTTTTTAATAGGGAGTTGCTTGATAATGTGTTCAAATTCACCCAGAGAGGTGTTTTTAGCGGGAAGTGACATGGGAAGGGGTGAATTGAGAGAGCTATCCACTATTTCTGGTTGTGATGCACTAGGCTGTATATCATGAAGAGTAAAGCATTTCGATAGGTGCTCAGCGAATATGTTAACTTTTTCGAGGTCAGTGATAGCCCAAGAGTGATCTGCTTTGCGAAGAGGGGGAGAAGGTTGTTTTAACCGTAGTTGGGATTTGGTTGCCTTCCATAAGGAGCAGTTGGTTGTTGAAAGAGCTTCAACATATGAATTATAAGAGTCATTTTTATGCTTCCTAATTACCTTTTCAGGTTGGTTACTTAATTGATTAAGTTTAATCTTGTCAATGGGGAATTTTAATTTTTGCCACTTGGCTCTAGTCTTGCGTTTCTATGATAGTAAGATTTGGATGTGATGCCGTGTTTTATTATGCGAGGATTTGTTATTTTTCGTAATGGAGGCGCACAAAGCAGCGGACTGTATTGATGACGTTAGAAAATCCAACGCGTCATTTACTTCGTCTGTTGTTTTTAAGGAAATGGTTAGTTTTATGTTATCATTTAAAGCTTTTTTAAAGATTGACAATTCCATTCGACCAGGAGTAAGCGTTTTTTGGTATACTTGGGCTTAACCGAATTTCAAGTAGGGTTGGTGTGTAATCGGAGGATAGGCCGTAAATGTTATTTATAGTGGAGTGAATGTTACTAGGCAATTTGTAAACAAAAAAGTCCAGTATGTCGGGTAGTCAGGAGGGGCCAGTGTTGATAAGTTTGTAACATGCAAAATTGAATACATAAAAATTGCCGCGCTAATCATTAAAATCGTCTGTGCAGTAGGTCATGTTATCATATANTCGATTTGGCGATCGACGGACCGCATAACGGCCATCGGATCGATGTTGTTGCTCCAAAACCGTTCACCGGTACGATTTTTTTTTTGCTCCGGTTTCGATCTCGAAAAATGAGAGGCTAAAGTCCACGCAAGTCCCCGGCACGGTCGTCCCCGACCGCCGGTCAGGTATGCATATGCCCTTTTGTTTTTTTTTTTATTTATATATATTAATATTGGCCGATACTACCCTATTGTTTTTATATTTTTTTTGATTTATTTATTTTTATTTGTACCTATATTTCGCGTTTCCACCATGAATTTGTTTTCGTTAGATACTTTGTTTTAAATTTCCTATACGTGTATAAACGTGCTGCGCGCAAGTACTCTTTTATGTCATTCTAGTTTATGACAGTTAATTAAGTTTTTTTTATATATATAATACGTTCGTCGGGTATCTCTGTAACAACCCAATGAGAATAGGTTAGGTTAGGTATTATATCCGAGGTACTGGTTGTTAACTTTCCCCCCCTCGACAGGTTGTCTTTTAGGCCAACATCACGGACACAAATATGAAAACTGTCGACCATCGACGTCCCCGTGCGATAGTAATTCCGCACAGTGGCAACGCGCGATCCTGTACGAGTCTCCCTGTTGAAATTATTGAATGGTGAGTTTCCACACCAGTCCGTTCTCACGCTAGTACCGAAATCTCTCCATTAATAAACATATATATATATATATAAATCTATATGTTTAATTCGCGCATAAGCTGAATTGCATAAATAGCTAATCATATTTAACGTCGTGATGTTCATTTCCGCGATGCTTATGAACATACATTTATAAGCACTATAACACGTTCCCAATCCTATTCCCGTTGTTGTATATATTATATTTTGGTGTATGGAGTTATTTTATGAAGTTATGTTATAACATTAATTGTAGTGTTTACGGTATTCTGATACTATGTTAAAACGGACGACTTAAATTGTACGTCCACATATATATATATATATATATATATATATTTTTTTTTCTTTCTCTCTCTCTATGTGAAGTTTTTATGCCGGACGGCTTTTCTTCACGATTAACATAAATTTCTTGATTAATAAACTAATAAATCTCATTTATTTTCCCCACAAAAACTTGGTGTTTTTTTTTTCAATCTATAAATCCCCATATTATTTCACCTATGTTTCCTTTTCAGGATGTTATATAATATGTTTCACTACATTTAGATTGTTTAGTACTTAATTAAATCCTGTAACTCCGGCAGATCCTGTCTCGGTTGCAGGTCGGTCCGTGGCAATCGCCCGGGTCGCATAACGCTCGTGGCGAACTCCGTCTTTACGGCTGCCAACTCTTGTTTTATAGAATTACTGTCCTAATATTTTTTTTTTTTTTCACAAGACGACGCGAGACGTTACAAGTTGTTATAGGTTATGCAGTTGAGTAACGCTCTACCTCTAGTGTTGGGAGAACGATTCCCCCAATTTGGATTTTTAGCGTTATAATCTCCACCTGAAATAAATCGGTGACTAATAATAATCTGAGAACTGGCTTGCGTTTATGCCAATTCCAGGGGGGCTATATATAGAAGATATATTTATAGGTATATTGTTATGTGTAATAATTGAAACACCAGAAGCTTGAATATGCGGGAATATATAAGGGGGTAGAGGGTAATGGGATAGATTGGATTTGATATATAATGCTAAGCCAGCGTGAGATGAGCCATCTGGGTGACAGGCAAAGTAGCCCTTATATCCATGAACGTTGATGCAGGAGTTCGGGATAAAATGAGTCTCAGATATTAGCGCTATGTCGATATTTTTGTCTTGGAGTAGGAAAAGGAGTTCTTTTTTATGTTGTTTTAGCCCATTAGCATTCCAGGTTAGTATAAGTAGCGCAGAGTTTGTTGTATTATTAGTATTCATTTTGTTGAGATTATTTTGTTAATAAGAGTGGTAAGGAGACTTATAAGTGGTGTAATAAAAAATTGGAAATTTGCCAAAAAGGATGATAATTGAGTGGAGAGTGGAGTTTCAGGGGAGGTAGGGTTGAAATTTTGAGGTACTGGGGATTTGCTAACGTCAGAATATGTACGAGGCCGGTGAGTGGTGGTGCTGAGTGACTTACCCGTTAAGTTTTGAAATGATGATGATGAGTCTTGAACGAAGTTTTTTGGTTGATTGGAGATGGAATTTGTTGCATCTGTGATTGAAGGCTTCGTGAGGCGTTGATCTGCGATTTGTACGGTTCTTGATTTTTGAAGTTGTTTATGGACCGTGCATCCTTTATAGTTTGATGGGTGACCTTCACCGCATAGAGCACAAGTAGCTGGTAGGTCTTTGCTTTTATCACACATGTCAGAGAGGTGGTCTAGTTCACAGCGGAGGCATCTTGGTTTACGGTTACAATATGAACGAGTATGTCCATAGTTTTGGCACCGATGATATTGGGGGAGATCACGTCTGGTATGGGGTTCTTCAATCTTGATTTTAGAGTAGCAAAGAATTTCAAGTTTGAATATGTCCGAATTATTGGTTTCAGGATTAAGATCTATGAAAAAGAGTAGTAGTAGAACATTTGACTGTCTCTTTTTTATGTTTGTGACATTTCTTACAGAGAAACCGAGCTCAGTTAATTCTTGTGAGATGTAGTCTGTAGGTATTGAGTGGTAGAGGTATTTTAGGACAACACGATAAGGCTTGTCTTCTTTAGCTTGATATGTGTGATATTCGATGGAGTTGTCATTTAGCAATTTGATTGTTTGGCGAAAAGAGTTGGACGAATATAAAGATAATTTGAGATTTTTAGATGTAGATTTGCATAAGAATCCTTCATCGCCAGAAATAGATTTTATTTGGTTACAGAAATCTCTGTAATCTATTGTTGATGTGATAAAGATTGGCGGTAGTGGAAGTGTTTGGGGAACAGATTCGGTGGTCATTTCGATGGGTTCGCTGGATTCGACATTATCCTTTAAAACTTCGTAGCGGTTTGGCGTAAAGAAATAATTGTTTGTTTTGTTCCCTTTTGGGTGGGGAAACGTATCTGGAGAAGACGAATGTTTGGTTTGTACGGTCAAACCGGATCCGTTATTGTTTGAATTATAAGAGGTAGATGTTTTGAAGATTTTGATAGTAGGCAATGAGACTTTTGAACCACTCTGTATAAATTAGCGTTCGTTGGAAGGTTTATTTTTAATAGGCTGATTACGCGGCATTGTGCCGCTAACGGTTATCTGCTATCCAAGTATCACAGGATAAGCGGTGCCTCGAGGTGGTAATTACTTAGTAGATAATAGCAATTAGTTTCTTACTTTTTTAGACTTGACACAGTTGAAGGTGACTGTGAAAACGATAGCCATACGTAGGCGAGAACTTAGTTTTTTTGGGTTTATTTATAACTGTAAATTTGAACAAAATCACTTGAGTTTGGAGAAAGTTGTCGAAAAATGACTCGGGAGCGAAATTAAACACGTGTGCTTAGTAGCGATGCCCGTGCGAGACAGTTGAGTTGGCTAGATCACACGATATAGCATACGAAAAAAGTAACTCGTTGAGTGATAGACGTAAAGCAGATAAAATACTAGAAGAACAGGCTTGGAACCTGTTCAAATCTAGAAAATCCGGTATCAAAGAAAAGGCTGCCACTAAGTTGGTTACTACGGCCATGAAAGTTAAAAGCAAAATAAGGTCAGGGTGCAGTTACAAACAGATAGTTGCGGTGGCTAAAAAAGCGATGAAAAGTAAAATAGGTGAAAATAATTTATCTAAATTAATGAGTACGTGTTTCGTGGCAGGGAAAAAAATTAAAAACGCCCAGAATTATACATATTCCGAAAAAAGGTTGCGTGTTACCGTTAATACCTATCTTTGCTGGT